GCACCAGACAGGGATAGCGTACTCTACTGTGGGTCGTACATATGACTTGTAGAGTAGGGCAATATGTGCATGCGATAGATGACGGCCCATAAAGCATAACAAATTTACACGTTGGCGAAACTTTTTGAACACAGTAGTGAAATGGTCATGGAATTTAAGATTAGTGCTGATCTCAACGCCTAGATGGATTACGGTACTTTTAACATTGAGTGGTACGTTGTCCATTTGGACAGACGAAGAGGGTGGAGGAGCATAGTTGGAGAACATGGTGGTCTTGGCCGCAGAAAACTCCCCATGAATGCCTCTAGCCCAGCGCTGGCAGCTTGTTAAATCCAAATGGAAATTGGCCAGATTCTCACCAACAGGTAAACCGATGTTATGAGTGTTGAGCAGTGTAACATCATCAGCAAATAGATAAGGGGCGCTGTGGGTCAATGTGTCGGGAAGGGTATTGATGTAGGTTAAAAACAGCAGGGGTGCAAGATGTGAGCCTTGAGGGACACCACAATTCAAAAGATATCGGGGAGAGATCGTCTCCTTAATCTTGACAGCTATCGTTCTCTGATTGAGATAGCATTCAAACCATTTCACTGAGTTTCGAGTCATAAAAGTACTCAGCCTCTCAATCAGGGTTGGATGATGAACCTTATCGAAGGCTTTCCTGAAGTCAAGAAATGCACAATCATATCTGTTGTGTTTGTCCGAGACACGAGCCATCTGGTGAGTAAGCAGGATAAGTTGGTCCGTTGCTGATCGCTGTGGAACATATGCAAATTGGGACGGTGATATTAATTTGTTGCGATGCAGGAAGCTGCTGAGACTCAGTGCTATCCGGTATTCGAAAAGGCGACTTACGGGATGCAGCAGTGAAATAGGACGATAATTTGTTGGTGAAGAGGCACTTCCTTTGCCTTTATATAATGGGGTAACAGAGGCCGATTTCCAGGAATTGGGGAAGCACGAAGTAGATAAGCTTAAGTTAAACAGGAATGAGAGGGATTCACACAGTAAATCTGCCATTGAGCGTAGTATCGGTATCATGTGATTTGCTGAGGTGGATTTTCGGGGGGATAGGTGTGTTAGGTCGTAATGGACTTGACCAGGACTAAATTTAGAAATGCTGTACAAAGTGGTGCAAGCACTTAATGATGGCGCTTGAGAGGGTTGTCCATTCACTGCCGGTGGCACTGAAGCCTAGAGTAACGTTCCAGGACAATTGTACTGAGAGTTTTCATGCAGAGATGAAGTCCTCGTCGTCGCTGATGTCAATGGACGCAAAAATATCGTTCCGAAATATTTCAAGGAAGGTTGAAAGTTGGTCGCGCTTCATCTCGAACGCTTTGACTTTCTCCACAGGACAAGAGCTGCTATGCTTGTTGTCTGCTAGCTCTGGATGATTTCTACTTCACTACCAACGAAGCCTAGTAAGAATACACGATATTGCGAGGTCGGTTGATTACCGTCGGCGGAATCACCTCGGAATCACCTCGATCTTGAAATGAACTTTTTTTAGCCGTCGCATGCCCACAGCTCATGCAGGTAAGTGTAGTATCACGACCAGCGCGCCCTCTTTTTCAGCATCACTGGTATACCATGGTGCGGCACCTGCGCGTGCATCACTAGCACTACGTGTAGAGTCTACACGGCTCTTGCAGGTACAACCATGTACTAGTACTGAGTGTCTCAGCCAGAGCGACAAATTTTATCGCTGTTGCAGGCATTTAGTATGCCGACCCCTCGATGTTTCTCCAAGCGCTGCCACTCGTTCCACAAAGTCATGCTCACCCCAGCTAAGGTAAAACAGTGATGAGGCTTGAGTGAATGGCCATAAGCACGAGAAATGTGCAGGCTGCCACGCCTGACTGATCTCAGCGAGTCGAAATTACCAGCGCAGCGACATCAGCGAAGAAATTGCGTCTAGTTCAAAAATTCAAGCTTCCAATAACAGAAAATAGAACTTTGCCGTCACCCTATACTGATGACTATCGCCTATGTCCGATTCCTTGCCTCTGGTACGAGTGCTGGTGAGTAAATACCGCGTATTACATCAAAAGTCAAACTGCGACAATTTCGATGACGCGGAGGAAGTAGTATTATGTAAACGACTCCCTGCTGTATAGGGAGATTTTCTGGAAAGAAATACGAAGTAGGGAGACGAGGTAATGCTATTAGAATGGACGTTAGTTGCCGAATAAAAGACAGGATGCGTCAGCAAAAACATACTTTGTAAGAGAGATCCCGTCTTCTCGAAAATAATCCTGAACGGGCTAGTCAGCGCCGGTCACAGGAAACGTCGGAAGAGAGATCCCGTCGACTCCAGAACGTCCGTGATCGGCAGAGTCAGCGCCGTCCACTAGGAGTGTGCGGATAATGCTCGAAAAGGTGGCAGATTCTGCTCGAAAAGCAGTTAAATTGGCAGAACCATACAAACCTTATGGCGGGCAATTCCTCGAATTCTGCTCCAATTCTTTATCCACTTACCAAACATGCATGAAACTTACCAGAAAAAGTACCGAATTCTGCCAATTTTTCTGCCGGAATTATCCGCATATGCCTACCGGTCACAGGAAACGTCAGGACAGATATCCCTTCGACTCCAGAACGCTAGCCAGGGCCATCACAGCTTTGACACGTTACATGCATGATGATCAAGCAAAAAAGCATAGCGTAGGGCCCTGAGCTTCCAAGCTCTCTCGTTTGGTATTTGTTTGTTTGTGTGTTTGTTTGTTTGTGTCACGCCTGGCGCTATCCGTATCTGACGGCAAAAAAGCATAGGATGTTATAAATGTTTCAATTCTCCTATTTTTTTTTAAGGCATATCATGGGATTCGAACCTGCACTATCGCCCTACATGCATTCCCCCATACACTTCGCATTCATACCCATTCTTCCAAGTGGCTTCACGTTATTATCTTGCGTTTGAAAGCCCTATTTGAATATTGCGGGCAGCTGTATGTGGCCAGCTGTGTTTGATGGTGCGGTACGGTACGGGAGACGGTGTCGTATTTACCTCGATCGTACCTGTCCCGTACCTATCCCCTACCGTGCCGTGCCATCAAAGACGGCTGGCCACAATGCATATTCAAATAGGGCTTTCAAATGCAAGATCACAATCTGAAACAACTTGGAAGAATTAGTATGTATGCGAAGTGTATCGGGAGATGCATGCAAGGCGCGCGATAGTGCGGGTTCGAATCTCAGGTCATGTCTTTAAAAAAAGGATTTTTTTAAAAGAATTTATAGCATCCCTATGCTTCCTTTTTGTCTAGGTCATCAAGGCAAAAAAGCATAGCGTAGGGCCCTGAGCTTCTAAGCTCTCTCGTTTGGTATTTGTTTGTGTGTTTGTTTGTTTGTTTGTTTGTGTCACGCCTGGCGCTATCCCGTATCTGTCCCGTGCTGTACCGTACCAGCAAAGACAGCTGGCCACAATATTTTTGTTTGTTTGTGCCATCGACATGCCTGGCGCTATCCTGTACCTGTCCCGTACCATCAAGCGTACGGTACCATCAAGAGAATGAGTATATATGCGAAGTGTATCGGGGGAATGCATTCAGTGCAGTAACATTTTGTGTGGATTTGTGTGCGAGGCCGAGATCCCACTAGCAGGCTGGCTGGGCCGCCTGTCAACCAGCCCGGGAATTGCATGTAGGCCGATAGCACAATAATAATAAAGTATATACAGTCATGTAGATGTGTAGCAGGGAGTCATATTATGTAAACGACTCCCTGCTGTATTGAGAGATTTTCTGGAAAGAAATACGAGGTAGGGAGACTAGTAAATGCAATCAGAATGGATATTAGTAGCCATCAGTATAATAATAAGAAGAAGAAGAACGCCCGTGATCGTCAGAGTCAGCGCCGGTCCCAGGAAACGTCAGGACAGACATCCCGTCGACTCAAGAACGCCCGTTATCGGCAGAGTCAGCGCCGGTCCCATAGCTATGCTGAAGACGTTACTTCAGTATCTCATTGAAACGTTTTTGCAATACAATGATGGAGCTAATCAAAGGAAAAAGCATTTCCATCAGTTCTAACAACATGCACGATGAGCTAGGCAACAAAGCATAGCGCAGGGCCCTAAGCTTCCAAGCTCTCTCGTTCGGTATTTGTGTGTTTGTTTGTTTGTTTGTGTCACGCCTGGCGATATCCGTGTCTAACGGCAAAAAAACATAGGATGTTATATATTTTTCAATTCTTCTATTTTTTTTTCAAGGCATATCCTGGGATTCGGACCCGCACTATCGCCCTACATGCATCCCCCCATACACTTCGCATTTATACCCATTCTTCCAAGTGGCTTCACGTTATTATCTTGCGTTTGAAAGCCCTATTTGAATATTGCGGGCAGCTGTATGTGGCCAGCTGTGTTTGATGGTGCGGTACGGTACGGGAGACGGTGTCGTATTTACCTCGATCGTACCTGTCCCGTACCTATCCCCTACCGTGCCGTGCCATCAAAGACGGCTGGCCACAATGCATATTCAAATAGGGCTTTCAAATGCAAGATCACAATGTGAAACAACTTGGAAGAATTAATATGTATGCGAAGTGTATCGGGGGATGCATGCAGGGTGCGCGATAGTGCGGGTTCGAATCCCAGGTTATGTCTTTAAAGAAAAGGAATTCTTTAAAGAATTTATAACATCCCTATGCTTTTTTTTGTCTAGGTCATCAAGGCAAAAAAGCATAGCGTAGGGCCCTGAGCTTGCAAGCTCTCCCGTTTCGTATTGTGTTCATGTTCATTGTCCGAGGGCACCTTTGTAGAGCCAGGAGTTGTGCGATTTTCAGTAATTTTTGAGGGTATGTTAATTTGAAGGATTCCTTCAAAAACAATTTTCTGGGGCTTTCAACAGTCGGTCTGCTTCGAAAATGAAGCTCGCCTGCCAGATTGATTTGCACATTATAATATTGTTGTCGTGAGCATTCATTTTTTGGATCCCATTTGCAGAAGAAGGCCTGTGATACCTGTCATCACAGGTGACAAAGTAGAGCAACGGGCATTATGCTGAGCGTTGCAATTTTTCGAAGTCTACTGGCCAGTTCCAAAGCAATTCGAAACGAGCTCAGTTACTTACAAATATTTACAGAGAGACCAATTGCGCTAATCACGCTAGTCGGCGTGGTACTATCACAAACAAAAAGTGTAAAACGAAAGGGCACGGGGCATTTCATTGACAATACAATGAAAAAGAAGGGTAGCACAAAGACATCACCAATATATCAGACTGGCAAAATTCCAAAAAAGACGTGGGGGACAAAAAAGCTAATACAAAACAGAGAATTGAATGACATCTATCCGCCTTGCCTAAAAAATTATTTTTTAATGGGTGAGCCGAATCCAGGACTTTTAGAGCAGACTTGGACGTTGGACATACATGTACACTTTTACTTTCGCAAAAGTTTGGACTGGCAAAACTGCTTGGTTGCGGTGTCTCTGGAGACCTCTTCGACGATCCTCGCTAGCGAGGCGAAATCCGGTAGGATCAGCAATCTTGATAAGAGATTGTTTTTGTCTTGTATAAGTTTCATAGAATGCAGCTCACGCAGGTTGACGCCCGTGCCAATGCCGATCGGAAAGATATCCACGCCTACATCATCGTGAAGTTTCTCAGCATAAGGTGTCGGTGGACCTCCACGATTTGAGTAGCCGTCTGTTAGCAGGATGAGGCGTTTTTTGCTCTCCGTGCGCATTCCAAACTTATGTTGGAAGATGTGCGACTTACAACGTTCCAAAGCGGGCGCTGTGGCTGTGGAACCTCCCATTACCCACCAGAGTCGCTGGGCGGCCATGAAGCTGTCTCGGATCGCTTCAGCACTGATGTGGATCTCGGTGGAGCGCGTGAAGTTGAAGACTATCTGCACATTAGTGGAGTAGATAATGAGCGCTAGCCGGATATCCGAAGGCTGCCCTGGACCTTTCCATTTGTAGCACATGAGGCCCATCAGTGTGGCGATGTTTTGCACTGCGCGTTCGTAGTTGTTTCGGCGAACGCTTCCGGATGCGTCAATTACGATAGCAATGTCTTTAGGGTCTTCCTGGAGGTCGTCAGGTGAGGGAAGCTCATCTACCTCCGGTGTGATAGAGTCAGACGGTGGTTCAGGATCGGTATCTTCTTCTTCGCTGTGATCGTCAATCCTGCTTCTATAAGGTACAGCGCCGCTACCCAGGCTTGGGTAGAAATGTGGTGGCGACTGGAGTCTTGGTGGAAATTGTGCTGGAGGTGCTGGACGCTGTGGATGTATTATGCGTGCTCGTGGACCTGGAGCATATGGAAGTACTGGAGGCCCTGCGACTAGTCCAGGTGCTGGCCCTGGTGCGCTGAGTGAGTAACCTGGAGCCACTAGAGGTGGGTGTTGACCTTGCGCAATAGGGTTATTTTGCGGTGGTGGAGCTTGTCTTGGTGCCTGCGGTACTTCGTAGCGCGGACGAGTATCTGGAGGGTTTACGCCATCAAACTCGGTGTCGAACGCCTGTTTCAACATCTCGAGTTGCTCTTGTGGCGAAGGCAAACCTGCAAAGTGAAAAAAACCCATCACAAACACATTTTTGTTGACATTGATAAATTATGCCTCATAATCCCCAAAAAAAGATTAAAACCCAGTGCAGTGGGCACATGACTGCACCGGTTTATCCCCCCCCCCCGCCCCACTCCCTCCCTATGGCCAAATAACATTCGGACGATAATGCATGCCATTCATGACCCTTGTACCAGACACAGACTGAAACAGGCATCCACGCCCACCAAGTTCGAGGCACGAAGCCAAAAATACAGAATATATCTGATTGAATTTTCTCACTCTGCCAGTATTGTCACACTGAAGTCGAAGCCTACGATGGAACCGTCTCCCACATGGTGTGACCTGTGACGGCTCTTCGGAGTATTATTTTTGCACGTATCACCAAACCGTTTAAATTAAATTGCTATCGGATTAACCATTTTATTAATATACAGTTTTTTACAATGTCTTCGCCACCATTCTCATGTTTCTTTTGCTGTTTATTCTCACTTCATCTAGGTGTTGGTGTGCACCTTCTTTTTTTTCATTTTATCTCCTTATGGTCGATTTTGGGCTTCTTTGTAGTAGCACTTCGAGGTGCATTTTATTATTGAGCTACTGAAGTTAAATAAATCGAATATAATACCAAGTACCATTATCACGATTACCTGGAACACTTCACTAAGACCCAAACTACGGAAGTAAAGTGGTATATTGTCATGAATGTCCCCCTTAAACTTATTCTTGGGGAACAGCACACGTCTGCATTTACCCACATGCTTCCCACTCATCGCCTTCCTTGAATCAACTTCAAAAGGTCTCAGCGTTCCTCTCTCTCTTCCTCTAGGTGTCTTTCCTAGACACTTTCATTGCATTTTACTTCACCCCCAGAGAAGTCAGGATCATAATCAAAGATGGTGCCCCTGCGTTTTCTGATACGATCACTCTGCTGCCTGTTTGTATTTACATTGCAAGAAAGCATCACTCCCTGCTCAATACATAATGTTTCGGGGAATTCACCCCCCCCCCCATCAGTTGAGCTTGGGTGGGCGTTTTTGCAGGTTTGCCGAGTTGAAGGTTCGATGGATCTCTAGTGTGTTCTGGATGGCAGACTTGAGTCGGTGAAGTGAGAATTCAAGTCGGCAGGAAAAGCTGGAGCTCCCACGCAGGGAGAAAAACACAAGTCCACAAGTATCGCCGAAGTCGCACCAACCTCTTTTTCAAACTACAGAATGCCAATAATAAAGACATGCAGTGGTTTCCCAAAACAAAATTTCACACTAACAAATGGCTATATCAAACTACAGTTGCGGCCACATTGTGAGTATGGATAGGGCGCAACAGACTGAGGCATTCGCTAACAGAATTACTGGAATCTACAAGAACAAAAAAACATTCAGATCCACCTACATGTTCTATTCGTTTCAACCTTCCGGCTAACTCCATTGCAGTATCCCTCGTCCGGGAGACGCTCTGTAGTCCTTTCATACTCAATGTACTTCGGACATCCGATTCCGCTCGACTGCGTTCCGAAGGACACGGGTATCCATTCCGACCAATTACCGTACTCACACTCTGCCTGGGGTAGGGACGGCTGGCGCGGTAAAAAACTTTCTTCGCCGGAGCCAGAGCCTAAAGGCATAGGCAGGCTTAATCCGTCAATGCTACACGCCAGAAAGCAGAGAAGGAGCAATGCTAGAGGGACGTGTCCCATGGTGCAGCGGGAACGCAAGCGGCTTCTGGATATGAAGCTGCTAACTCAGAACCTGAACTTTCACCTAATAACTCGGCAGCAGTGGAGCTCATCAAGAAAGAAACACTGCAGCAGCTGGAGTGGTCCTCTCTCTCGCTCTTTCCTTTGTGAAACTGAGTCATGAACACACGGACATTATTCTTATAAAGCAATAAAATAGAATTCACGTCGCTGAATAGAGCTTCGCAGCAGCAGTTCTTCACTTTGGCGAGTGGGCAAGTTCATGACCCGATCCGCCTGTCAGGTTTGAAGGTTGATTAGGCTGCTGCTGACAAGTGTAGTTAGTTCATTTGACGGGAAATCAAATGTGTATAAGACTAGTATAGTCTCCAAGGAATAGGTGACGCTCTGCAGGCCTAATGTAAACTTGGCGTGTATATGGCCAAATACTCCATAATTGTGAGTCTTGTGTTATCATACGCTATTCCCATTGCGTGCTAAAGTGATACCAAACAAGCACTGACAACACTCCGGCTGTACTCCTCGTGTAAAACTGTTGTAAGCGCTCAGCTCGTTGAGAGTTGAGACAGTCCGTCCCCGGAGACTGGTTAGCCCATGTCTCCAACGCAGAGAATAGTAGAATGAGCTATCAATGAACATCAGATTGACTGCCGTCAGTCAATCGACGCACGGGTGAATAATGTCGATATAACTGACATGTGCATTCAGGTATACACAGAAAGCAGAATCATCCTTAGATCATGGCAACAATGTCGTCACTTGTCATCTAAGTGATTGACAGCAAGGAGAGTCAGGAATATAACCTGAGCATTTTGTGACAGTCAATATCGGGCAGGGTGCTCGATTTGTGCACCAACGTGACATAATAGCGTCCTGAAATGGCGCCAGCATGAAGCACCGCTTTATGTACATAACTTTGGATATACAAGTGCAGTTCCAGACCCAGCAGCATTGTCTACTCAAATACTGTCAACTTCGCCAATAACGACATTCGGCGGGGCATCAGAAAAGTGTCCTTATAACCGAAGTCCCATTTGAATGTATGTGAACCCATATTTTGTGTAATATGACATGCATATCAAAATCAAGCTCTTTTCTAGCTCTATGTCAATGTGTACTTTATTTTCATATTGCAGTTGAAAGGAACTAAAAATTCAATATGCAAGGGAAATCAATTGAAAAATATGCCTTTTTGAGCCATCTACAGGGCCAGAGACATGTACATGTATGATGATTACTGTACAATCATGTACAACTACATATACATTGTATACATACATATATAGGTGTGCTGGTAAATCCAACAATTTTGAAGCCAACATAAAAAAGGAAGAAAAAGTCCCCCCCTCGGCTGCATTTTCTTGCATGCGTGCCTTTATAATAATATCCATCACAATACATGTAGGTTCTGGTGCATGACAGGTACATGTACATGTACATGTACTTGACTGACAGGTACTTGAAATAGCTGTCAAAAGCCCAGAAAGTCGTTATTCAAGCAGTGAATATGACCTCGGGGCGCTAAAAGCATGTCGCTATACGCGAATTGTCGTTATTCAGATAGTCGTTATATCCGAAGTTAAATGTATACAGTTAGATGGGACTTTGCTCTGGGCATCGAAATTCGGTCGTTATTCGCGAATTGTCGTTATATCCGCAGTCGTTATTAGCGAAGTTGACTGTATATATTGGCAGTCTTCTGACGAGCCAGGAGATGTTGAATTAATAATAATAATAATTCGCGAATAACGACAGAATTTCCATGCCCAGAGCAAAGTTTCATACCACTGTAATACATTTTTATTATAATGAGAGCTATAAAGAGAACAAATTCTGCTGTCATCGCCACACTACAACAAAGTCATGAAGGTTTACCAAAATCGATTTTTTTGTCACAATCATCAGTGGAAAGCCGTGACTGAAGAATAACCATGCTAAATCAATGATTTATTTACATTCAATAATGTGTTACGAGAACAAAACAAAGTGCTAAATAGAATGAGGGATGGTGAGACAATAGAAGTGAATCCTCTATTTAAGCACTTTGTTTTGTTCTCGTAACACATTATTGAATGTATATAAATTGTTGATTTAGCATGGTTATTCTTCAGTCACGGCTTTCCACTGATGATTGTGACAAGAAGATCGATTTTGGTAAACCTTCATGACTTTGTTGTAGTGTGGCGATGACAGCAGAATTTGTTCTCTTTATAGCTATTATAAAATTGTTGTCTCCGCGTCGATTATTATAATGAGACTTCGGATATATCGGCACTTCGCGAATAATGACACATTTTTGATGCCCCGCCGAGTGTCGTTATAAGCGAAGTTGACTGTATATCCGCAGTCGTTATTAGCGAAGTTGACTGTGTACGTGTATACACGGTTTATGCTAGCTGAATGGGATAAGCAATGTGCGGTTAGGAGTGTACGCGGGAGAGCATGTTGTTGACAAAAAATGCTAACGGTGCCATGTGAAAATGCACACCCTACCGTGTAAAGGATCAACGTCAGTGTGTATTTCATACTTGGCCTAACACATGTCACGTGGGTGATTTGAAATCGTGCTCACTGACTCCATGAGGCTTTGAACGCACAATTGACACCATCACATTGTGTTTGTTCTGTGAGACTATGACAAATTTGACAGGGTCTCGCACAACAGACACAACAAATGTGATTGTAGCTTTCAAATGCTTTTGGCACAGTGGGGGCTAATCAAGCTCTCTTGGCAAAAGGTACCGGTACGTAACGCAGCACGTTTAGGTCTCGCACTAGAGAGCCAGAGATGAATTGAAGTGACCGGCTGGTGCCAAGGCAGCTGGTCGTGGTGTGTGGACGACATGCTGACGATATGCTAGCAGCGTGTGGTAGTCACGTTTGTCCCCTTGGGATTTCTCAGGTAAGCGTGAGCCACATGCTCACTCACATGCATTGACGCAATCACACGGACACACATGAAAGCATTAACGCACTCCCACACTCAGACTCAGACTCAGACATGCCCATCGCGGAAGGGATGATAGCGAACAGCTACATTGTATGTTATACATTGCAACTTGTGCTGGGATTACGCCATTGAACAGCTTGCAGGGCTGATGAATTTACAGCCACTAATTTTAGCCTGGTATCCACGGCACAGCTGATTGAAGTGGCTTTTCCTGGCCAGTAAGTCCCTATTTTTCATTTTCATTTTTCCATACGCACTACGCGCGCACACGCACGCCACGCACACACACGCACGTCACACACACACGCACCCCACACATATACACGTTCAAACACACGCGCAATCACGCACATACACCCACCCGGACACAAACCGGTAGGCCTTGACGGATTATGCTAGCATCATATTTCGCATAATTCCTACCAAAATTGAATACTCGCATAATTCGACGCAAATAGCATAAGAATCGCATAAATTGGAATAATGCGCCTTTTCGCATCAAATTCCATACAGTTGTACTGGTTCTACAAGTACAAGAACAAGTAGATCCACCAAGAAGCCGGAGGTTTACGACTCCCTTGATAACATGTCCAGTCCACTACAAATTATAGCAATAAAAACTGCTTTATGGCAGTTTCCTAAAAAATGTTACTGTCGTAGCTAGGTCGGGCGGTGCGTTGACCCCGTTGAACTTTTGCTACTACAGTACAATGCCATCTACAAAAAAAAACTCTTGCGCGCGCTAGTCGTCATGCATGTTTTTTTGCGAAACCAAGTTGGCTAGTGCTGTGGTGTTTCGTCGCAAATGTGCAGCATAATGCGGCATAACATGATAACTTTTAGCATAAAAATAGCATAATTCTGCAATTTTTCAGCACTGCGAAAAGCATAATTTCAGGAAAATATTAACATAATCCATCAAGGCCTACAAACCGGGAGCACACATTATATGCACACACTAACATTGATAATAGCAATGAAAAGTATGAATGCCGCAGACATCACCACGCAACATGACAATTTGTTCAAGGTTTGGTTTTGTGTGTTTCCAAAATCGATTTTCACGGTCCGATCATCAGTGGAAATACGGAACTAAAGAGATCAAAGGAAAAACAAAGGTTAAAAATCCAAAGAAGTGTGACACATGACGGGTAACTTGTGGTAAGTATTACAAAAAGTGAGAACTAAAATAAAGAGTAAGTGTGACAAACGGCTAACATAACACGACTAACATTGATCCTGTGGTTTTAGGTAACATTAACAAAACAGTGCACCACTGACGAAATATGACTGTACTACCAGGATAAATAAAATAAAAATGTTTACACCGGACACACTTCTGGCCTGTCGGGACCACAAACCAGGCGGTGAGTGCCTCCTCCGTGATAATAACTACATGAACACGAAATTAAACCAGAGACGACCTTCACCATTTTCGGTATCATTATGAACGACAACCCGTAGTAAATCATTGAAATCATTGCGCTTTTCCCATAATAATTATTTTACTTCTAAGGCGCACTGAAGATAATGATAGGATTGAGCAGTGGCTAGCCTAAAGAGGAAAGGCCACAATATCTAGTCACAAACGCGAGTTGCGATTATGAACAACGGAAGTACTCAGTAGGTCTGGTAGATCAAGAAGATGCAATGTGCGTAGAGCGAAGAATGAGTGGCATCAGAAGGAAGAAACCAACATCTCCCTGTAGGAAATATTTAGTACTACATCTGATTTACTATTAGCCCAAAAACATAAGCTTTGAACTTGGAAAGCAATACTTGAGAATTTCCTAACTGTGCACCTCGTTATAGGATTCTAGGGGAACCATGTTGGGAAGGCTAGCCATTATTCAAATGCGAGTGTGGATCCGCAAAGTCGCTTGGTTTGCCACCTTCCATGTCTACTGAATTCATGCAGATATTGCTCGTGCCGATCAAAGACCACTGTGACACGACCTTGCCGCTTTACGCTGGACCACTGAAGTAGCAGTTAGTTGCAGGGAGAAAGGTGCAGCAAATACATCATCGCACTTTGCGTGGTGTAAACTCTTCACTTTATTTACTTTCACTCGGCATCAAGTCGGGACATTGACATTGAGCAAATCTGGCTTGGATTGCACGTAGGCGTGTAATTCTCTTGGCCTGCCAACCTAACAACCACATGATATGAACAGTGGCCAATGCAAGCATGACGAGTAGACATGACAACCCGGTGATTGCTGTAGTTTGCAAGCCACAACCTGCAGAGGGTGACATGGAAGCAGCCAGCGTTGTTCAAACACTCTATCAACAGTAAGGCATCGTCACTCAGCTCATTTTCTCTTGTGTCTATCACAGAACGAAAGAGCATGTAGAGTACAACTTCTCATTCACTGTTGTTATTGTTGTATACTTTATTTATAGTGGAAATCAAAACACACTGACCTGATGTGCTATTGAGTCCCGGATTGTCTTGCGAAGCATCTTGTCTCCAGAATTGGCCCAATGTCAATGCACGGCCAGGTAACAACCCTAAGACAACTGAATGAACCAATCCAAAGTATTGGGCATACCGTATAATCGGCATGCTAATCACAGCGGTGCTAATCAGTGGACTCAGGCTGCCCAGATTACTTCCCTCATGGAACATGTCTCTCTAAAAATGTAAGATGAGAAGCAAATGATTTTTTGTAGGCGATGATGATACCTCTTTGAGCGTCTTGAAGCTAGCCTCTGAGGGCAGTCACCGCACTTAGCAAATCACATGACCGATTCAGGCCCACAGGAACCGGCTTGAGCAGATTGGTGCAGCTGGTTTAAATCCGTAGATGTACCTTGGTTCCTTCCTTGAAAAACATCCTAAAGTCACTAGAATCCATGAAAACGACATGATCGCCACACAGACTGTTCGATTATTCCCGTGGCAGTCCAGTATCGAGGCACGCGCAACATTGCGCCGTTTCGTACAGTCTAAGGTCCATTTTTAGTGAAACAGGCTATAGATATAATATTATCCAGCGCGTTTCGGTGCCTACTTTTCAGATCTCGTTGCTAGTTCACTATGGAGCACCCCACTATTCTGGTCTTTCTACTGCTACTGGGAGCGGCCAACACGAGAGCCGAAAGTAAGTGCAATCATCAAGCTTGCATCTCCTGCTTGTAAGTCAGACCAGTGTGTCGAACCGTGTGTGCCGATTAGCATGACATCACTACTATTACACACACAGTCATAACCCTAGATGGTAGTCCCCCACTTTAACCCTTTGTGACCCCATCGATCGATATCGATCGATTGGTAAACAGTAAACGCCCATTATCGTCTTTCATAAGAGTACATGCAAGAAGGCAGCAATGCTCATTCTGGCGACGTAAAATATTATAATTTACTGCAATGACACTCGATGCGTGAAAACCGTTAGTTCATTGAATATAATTCTTATAATAAGAAAAGGGCCAAGGAACTACGAGATGCAAGTAGCCATTGGCGGACTATGCTCGGCCAATCGTCAAATTATGCTTTTGATTATGCAACAATTATGCCAACAATTATGCCACAATTATGCCAATATGCTGAATTATGCTGAATTATGCTCGGTTCCACTATGTATTCACGCTGTACATAGAGGATTGAGAAACCACGCATACACACACGGCCATGCCCTAAGCATAATTTTTGTCTAAACCGAAAGATTATGCCGACCTTACACGTTGGAATCCGTATATTATACCGGAGCATGATATTTTGACGAAATCCCAGGATTATGCCAAATATTATGCCGGCATAATCCGCCAAGGGCTATAAAAAGGAGTAGTAACTGGGGTATTTAAAAAGTATATCTGCAGGCTTTCTGACAAAGCTGTATTATGCCCCTAAGCATAATTTTTGTCTAAACCGAAAGATTATGCCGACCTTACACGTTGGAATCCGTATATTATGCCGGAGCATAATGTTTTGACGAAATCCTAAGATTATGCCCAATATTATGCTGGCATAATCCGCCAAGGGCTAGATACAAGCGCTCCAATCGAGTCTAATGCTGGTTGGCTAACACTCTCTCTCTTTGTATTGGCCGGTGTTCTCACTGTGCTATGAGATGCTGTAATAAATAAATTAATTAATAAATTAATTAATAATGAATAATATTTGGAGTGTTTTAGCTTTAGAAAAGACTTTAGTTGTCCAAATTTTTCTTATCTGCTGCGTGGATTGTCTACACAGCACTGTACTAACATTATAAATATGGTGGTGTGGTAGGTAGACTACCAAACAACATAGAACATCAGAAACATTGGCACAAGATAAGGCGTTTTTCGCAGAAACCCTACAAAACATATATTTATGCACGGATGGAGAGGTTGTAACTTTATAACGGAAGTATTATTATTATGGTGAGTTAAGAAGTCTAAGGAAGATGTTGAACGGCCTCTGCCGGGATGGCGACTACAACATAGCTCAGTGGTTAGAGCATCGCTGGCCTCACGCGAGGGCCCCTGGCTTGAATTCTCGTGTTGACAGTCAATTTTTCTTCAGACTCTTCCCGTTCCCGTCTTTCCTCCAAACCAGCGAATAATTATATCAATGACCCATAGCATGTTCTTGAGACTGCTAAAATGTAGAGATATGGGTGTTTTCCAACCATGGTCTATAGTCCGAAAAAAGATAAGTGTAGTTCCTTGGTCCTTTTTCTTCTCATATTAATAAACATTCTGTGTACTAACAATTTTCATGCATTGAGTTTCATTACAGTAAATTCCCCTTCGCAACTTTATCATTATTACTGAAATAGAGTACTATGTCAGAGAGCTGATTTTCGCAGACTTTGGATCTGTCCTGCAGATTGTATCGACGAACTGTAACTGTTCACGAGAAAAAGTGCCAGGACTTTTGATCTTTTACAGCATGGTTTTGGAGTGGAAATATCCATCTGAGGAGAGATTGGATGTTCGGAATCAGAATCAAAGGTTGAACCTCATGATCATGTTTGTCCCCTCCGTGAGCCCTCACAGTTTACAGCTCTCCATCCTAGTCCATTCCTTTACAGTTGGGTTAGGATTTTTTATGTTTCTTTACCTTTTCTCCTCTTTTGTTCTCTCTGCTTTTTTCCTTTATTTCAATGACGTACTGTACAGCTTGTTTGGAAACCAGCGTTCCATTGAAGGCAATGTGCGGAGTAGCATTGGCGTCTGCACTGTTCTCGCTCTGGTCAGTAGCCACCCTTATTCGTATGTTTCGAATTGAAAAGGTGCTGGAGGCGTACATCAACCATTGCAGCCTAGATAATAAGAGTCCATTGGCCTAAGCTGACATTGGAGAGAAGCTTGCTAAGGAATTTTTCTTTTGACGTTTGCGAAAGTTTTAGAGCAGATGTTTTCCGCTCTGAGCGAGGTGATGTTTGGAGTAGCACGAAGACAATTTCTTCGAAGTTTTTACTGCAAAAAACGTTTCTGCACTCCATAGAATAGGCACCTTAGGTTGTTATGATTACCTTACATTATGTGAACGTCCCTAATATGCCCTTTCTCTTGATTCTTTTTTCCAATTGCAGTAGAATACACGCCGTGAGTAGCATGCCTCATCATTGGTTCCTCTATTACAACGACGCTATACACATCGCAAATGATAGTAAATATCTTATTTCTTGTTAAAAATTTGTATTGTTTACAATTTTGTCGTTAAGCCATTTTCTAAATAGCGCGAAAACCACAGCACACTGTAGCATCTCTTTTCGGATCCTGACAATATTGAAGGTGTTTCATTAATCATTGTATCCCTCTAACGGAGACAAGCTGTGAAAAATGGTTTTGTTGGGATTGTTTCTCAGTTCTCTCTTACTTGTGGCGAGCCGCAAGTAATGTGCATGATTGGCATGGTAACATTTGTAAGTGCATCTGTATGCTCAACATGACACCTTATGCATTACAATAGACAAGTATAATATGAAGAAGAGGTTGGTGCCACTTCGGTGATAGTAGGGGAAGAGTGTGTTGCTCCCTACATGGGAGCTCGTGGTTTTCCTGCCAACTTGAATTCTCACTTGAATGACTCACGACTGCCATCCAGAGCACACGAGAACTCCATGGAACCGTCCAATCGGCAAACCTGCAGGAAAACACAACTCCCTGCTCAATACACAGTGTTTCGGGGAATTCACCCCTCATCAGTTGAGCTTGAGTAGGCTTAGGAAGATTGTGCCTGGAGAGCACCATCTGGAGAGCTCAACTGATGAGGCATGAATTCACCGAAACACTGTGTATTGAACAGGGAGTAGTAGAATATGGTAGATTTAAGTCAGAGTGGTGTCCTCTTGCTTGTGGAGATCAAGCAGATTTAGATCACGTCCAGCGTATTCTCGTGCGTGTATTGCTGACATGCAGTAGTGAATCATTGCACTAATCTCTTCCACAGTGACATGGAACGCAGTATGTCTCTGGACACCAGGATCTAGGGCAATCTGGCATAAATCTGTATGCTGGGGTACTGACTTCGCCACACCATCCATCCTGTTATGCCATCTACATACCTGTAGTTACTTCCGTTTGCAGCATATCTTTATGCATAGCTCTGTGGAATATCCCGCCCACTGTGTCAACTGCATGTACAACGTTCTACGCAGCAAAACACTCGATGTTGCAGCGGCAACTACATGTAGGTGCCATGGGCATTGTGCGCTTCGGCCAGCCGTCCAACTAATTACTCAGCACATACACTGCGTTTGTATGGTCGGCCTTGGCAAACTATGCCAGACAGTAGGACCGACTTCGCTGTTCGTGGCGAGCTGCGCGGCGCATCACCGTGCCTGGTCTCCAGCAGCCTTTTCTCGTTACCATTCCCCTTCCACGGATTTGCTTCTCCCAACCTGAAAACAGCGTCCGAAGTGAGCATGCAATGCGCTTTCCGTTGACTTCTAAAGCTAAGAGCATCCTTAGTCTGTCGTGCAAAGATAACTTCGATCATTGAAGGGATATCTTGTTCACCGGCATTGGTATATTTGCTAGTGTTCTAGGCTGGCTGTCTGCATACGAGGTCCTGAAGTGTGGAGTCACCGAACCCCAAATCGTGCGATATCCATCAGTATGGAAGCAGGTGAGCTATAGAAAATCTAACGTTACGACTACTTTTTGAAGCCTACCGAAGCAGCACGGAACTTATAAAGCCTCCATCCCAGTGTAGAGAAGGCCCAAACAAGTTAAGTGCGGGCCTTAGCACTGGGAAATGTGGTTTGAAGATTTATCAAACTATTTAAGCTCCGGAGCGCATTGGCCAAGGTTAGGCAACTGGATCAAGATACGCAGGGCGCAGAGATTTTTACAAATCGGCAGAGAGAGGATCAAAAAAGAAGAAGAAACATGTTGTGCCTCATGCCTGAATTTTGAGTCCGAGCGTTTTTCAAACTTTTCAAACTTGAATTCTCTCTCTCTCCTATGTACACTTACGGGCCGCGAGTTTAGATTTTTGTGGAACTGTGGGGACCATGCGTATCACATGGAATCATCTGTTGGAGATGATGAGCGAGAGAGATAGAGAGAGAGAAAGAGAGCGAAAGACAGAGCGAAAGAGAGAGAGAGAGAGAGAGAGGGTGAGAGTGAGAGAGAGAGAGAGAGAGATAGGTAGAGAGAGAGAGAGAGAGAGAGAGAGAGAGAGAGAGAGAGAGAGAGAGAGAGAGAGAGAGAGAGAGAGAGAGAGAGAGAGAGAGAGAGAGGGAGATAGAGAGAGACGGAGAGAGACGGAGAGAGCCGGAGCGAGAGAGAGATGTAAAGAAAGTGATGGAGCGAAAGAGAGACAAGAGAGTGAAATAGAGGGAGTGCCCTAGAACAATGATAGATTCTGAGCCGACCACTACCATCGTCTTGCATTGCTTTTGTAAGAAGAAAGCTAGATCCGAATGTCATGGTTGTGCATGGTTGGGGGGGGGGGGAGGGAGCATGCCGTGATCTGGACATGATATCAAACAAACTTGTTATTTGAAAGCGGAAATACATTTTTTGGCAATTTCATCTATTTTTTTCTTCTTCTTGCTTTCAGATTGCGATGGCCGCCTGTACATCACGGTAATGACTGGTGTCTCTACAGTCGTATCGGTAGGACTGGTGGTCGGATGCCTGTTCAATTTGCGTCGTTTGTACATTCAGATACGCACTCTCCGGGGGAAACACGAGCATATGTTCGTCGGAACGGAGTTCTCCCTCCAATGGATATTCTCGATCAATGTGTCAAACCCTGGTGGACAAGGCCACAAGAAAATGACTAAGCGAGAGAGTAAGAGCGAAGGCAAAAGTGACTCGTTTGAAAATGTCCACGCCACCGCCGACAGTTCTGGCAGCTTTGTAAAACACAATCCTCATCTTCGTTCTTCGTCGGTGAGGATGCGCACAGAGATCAGTTCAACAACCTGCCCAAACCTGACAGCTGGCGATGATGATATGCACGTGCAGGAACCGTCGTCGGTCAAAGGCCCCCTACCAGAGTACTTGACGATGGATGAACCCTCTTCGACTGGAGAGGATAGAACACAAATAGATCAGGGAAAAACAACTGCATGCGAAACTATTGCTGAGAGCGTAGAGGATGAAAGTCCTGGATCCTCCGTGACTGACCAGGGAACTGCCAAGTCATTCCTCAAGCGAAATGAAAGGAAATCTAACAAGACTGCGAATGTCGGTGCAGACCAGAGTCGTTACACGTGGGTAGAATCCCCCAGGCAGAGTGAATACATGCATCCGGAAAGAGGACCAGAGGAAAGCAGCAACGAAACGAGCCGAAGCGTTTACACGCGGCCAGAACCACAAATCCGGTGTGAATACACACAGCCAGGAACAGATCACGGGAAAAGCAACAAATCAACCTCTGTCTACGAGGACATTGAGTGCAGTGGTGATGAACCCCAGCAAGCCGTCAGCGATCCAGACCCGCGCGCCAAAATGGCAACATTCAAAACGAAGTCAAGCAGTTCCGTTCAGAGCACATACGAGAGCATAGGGCCTCACAGTTCAAGTGAATACGAACATCCTACCAACCGCACAGGAAGAACCAACACTGGAACCAGCACATACGAGATTATCAAACCTAACAACCAGGAGTCACCCTATGCTGTTGGAAATCCCGCTCAGGATGTCATCACCCAGGCCCGCTCAGCAAACAGAAGATCTGGTGGAGACAGTACGCACCTGTACGGCACAAGCCTCATAGGGAGTGAGGTGAACACAAGTGAGTACATGCTGCTGGAGGGAGTAAGTCGTGCACCGAACAACACTAGCGCAGGCGAGTATGAAACTGCGACGCCGGGGAAAAGTGTTTCGGTTTACGAGAGCTCAGCGTGTTAGATTATTGTGTAAGGTGAATGGCATTATGTAACCAAACTCGCCATTTCGTGCTGCCAATTAATTCCGGTGTTATTATCTCCTTATTAATCACATCAAATATAATTATTTTTTTCACAATATTCTTTCTTGAGCGATAAAGTCGTGATTTCAAAAGTCTCGAGGATCAATTTTTCATTTTGTCTTTGCTTTTCAACCAAAATGGATGAGCATTTGTGTGATGGCATTATCGATGAAATGACAGAAACGTATCCTATTCCTTCTCCGTTCTCAATATCTTTCAAGTACTGAATTTCCATGTGACATCAATCTCGGGGAGCCACTACATGTAGTAGAGGGAAAGCTAAAAAAACACCCCTCATTCACACTACTGGGACACGAATTCACACTTAATTCTCTTATGAACTAAACACTCTTCATGACTTTTTATTTGTTTTTCTCCAAAGTTTAGGGTGGCTCGAGGCTATCGGTTCTTACTCTTCACATCGAATTACTACAACATAACTATAATAAACTACTAAAACCACGTCATTCTCGCTCTATTCAGTGCGAACAAGAAAATAATTACGTAACCGATTGGATGGCAAAGTAAATTGTCCTCAGTATTCCGTTTGCCCGTTAGCTTAAAGACACTTCATCATACCGAATAGATGTATATTGTCGCACTTGCACCCGTCAAGACCATTAGTCTCAATGCCACTCTGTATAAAATCGCTTATTGCGACTTTCAATGGCCGGTTGACCTTGAGAACGCAATACAGTGATGTCCTTTTCTTGGTGTTCGTTACAGCTGGAGAACAGTAAAAATCCGTGCATATGGGGGCACAGTGGTATGTTGTAATTCACTGTCATTGACACAGGGCACCAACCACTGATATTAATAGACAGGTTTTGCAGAACGAACGCTTGCGCGAATTTCGTTTGTCACGAAAAGCGAAATTTCGTGCGAACGTTCGCAGTTTTAAACGCGAAAGGTGCTGGAAACGCGAAACAAACTTTCGGAGTATTTTTCGCTCTTTGTGGACCGTTGGTGCACGGTGAGCTACCCTCAATCCTTATGTTTGTGCTTGATCTCTACTCTTGGCTTGGTCCGCGAGTGCTAGCTTTCCTTGTGGCAGCCCGTGTTGCTTCATCTCTGGAAACATCTCCGATATCCTGCCTGCTCGTCTTCGCACTGCTCACAGTCGGTTACATCAATGATGCCTTTTTGAATTTCAGGTGTTGATGGGCCAGATTACGGCATAAGCCAACCCATTTGTCTGTGTATCTCCGGCCATGGACACCGTAGTCAACGAGCTCTCGCCTCAGGCCGTGACTCAGGGTGCAGCCACTCACAACAAACAAATAATCGGATGAAGACCACTTCCCAAACAAGCGCGAGTGCACGCGAAATTTTCTTGGAGCGAAAAACATGCAAAACACAATTTTCGCGCGAACGTTCCCAACAGCTTTTGCAACCCGGAACGCGAAAATCATTGCGAACGTTCGCTCTGCAAAACCTCTCTACTGACTGATCTCAGGGGCGCGTGGTCATGAGGGTCATGCAACCTAGCTTTGTATGAACATGGATCCTTTCCTGACGCATGTGGTGCATCCAATCCACAAATCCTAAAGCTATTGATCTAGTTTCCAGATATTGCGCAAAATGAACAATGGGTATAATGCTGTAAGGCCCAATAATTTACCCTACTCTGTGCTGCCCTTTCAAGCAAATGAAAACATCTGTCACGCGCCTTCATTATTCATGCAGAACACCTGAGTGAAGAACGACCCCGCCGCTACAAACATCAACTGAACTCAAACATGCAAACACAGATACACATACACACGCACACAAATACACACACACACACACATACACGAAAGGGCGCTGGTTTATCCTTGTTGACGTGTCATGGTTTTTCAAGCATGATTTCGTGTGTTTCTCCCCTGCTCCGTTGCAGCTCCCCACACTCATGCGAAACTTTACCCAGCTTTCCAAAGCAAATATTCGACATTATCTACTTGATTAAATTCGAAATCCACTCCTCAGCTCCAATCATATTTTATCGAAGTACTATGATCTGAGAAGAACCGCTTTTGTTTTTTACGTTACGCTATGCTGTGGACATTTGAAGCGGCAAGTGACTGTCCGAGGCATGATGCTATACTCAATGCCCTGCTCGTAATAGCAGTCACTTTTATTGTTGTGTACATGTCAGCTATCATCTTTGCTGTCAGACGGCATCGCTACATCAAACAAGAACTCGAACGGCTAGCGCTCCTCATCGCATCTGACGTGACAGCAGATATTCTTCACGATGGCAGCGGGGCGTTGGCGTTGGAGACGGAGACATCAGAATCGGTCCCAGGGAAGAACTGGAGATGCTCCGCAGAGCAAACTGGCGATATCTTTCCGTCTGCAAACGCAGTAGTCGGTAAGCGGAAAGCATCCAGTGGGACATGTAGTCTTGCAACCATTCCTGAATACGCTGAGATAAATCGGTTTGGCCAACTGGATGGAGACCACTGGTACGAGGAATTCGAGGTTGACTGTGTAAGCCAGGCGTACGAAGGAATTGACAGTGAATCACTCATGTACACCGATTTGATATTTACGCCGTTATATCAAGATATTAAGTCTGAGCATCGCGGGAAAATTCGGAATGCAGAGTCATTAGGATCTAGTTCGGCAAGTAAACGTACATCACAGCACTCCTCCCACACTTCAGCGTCCGTTCCAGACTATCTGGAGCTTCTTCAGGAAGGGAAAGCGGGTGAGAAGCCGAGTGAGGATTATGATTATGTCGTGTTCCAGAAACAATGTTTCAAGCAGAAAGGGAGCCAAGTTTCATGTGGAGACGTGGTTCATGACAATGGCTCCACATCGGTAAGCAATGGCAGTATCAGGGATACAGCTTCTGGAATCACACCTGATGACGAGATATATTCTCACGTAGTGTGTAATATGACGGATAGAGCAGGACCTGTTCCTACGGAAATGCCGTTAACAGCGCTAACTGATGAACATGGATACCTGTTGCTGACTTCCTCTGACACTAGTGAATATGGACAGAGAGTGCACAGTGACGGTCGTGCATCTCCTCATTGTAGAGAGAAAGTACACCTCCCGGAATCCCATTGCGATAACGACGATACGACATCAGACGTCTGTACGAAAACAGTGTATCTAGCACTGGATTCGCAAGGAGCTGAAATGTCCTTTTACACAGTGCCGTCTAAAGGAGATAATCTCCTTAGACCAGTTCTGGAGCGCCTACCCCTGGAAGAGGAGGAGGAGGAAGAATACACATATGTATTTTGTGGGAACGGCCAGTCTGCAGGTCGGCCTCAAATATACCGTAGAGTTGCTGACAAAGATGGAGGCTCTGATCTATCTAGTTATACCAAGGTAGATAGGAGCTCAATGAGCCCCTCTCTGTACACATCATTGAGTGCAGGGAACGGCAAAGGTTCCATGGACAGCAGCGTAGGACCTACATTACTTGCACCAGACAAATCCAGTGTGTCACAGACCACCGAGAACTAGAACATTAACTTCTTCCTGGACATACAAAGTGACTAACTGTTTAGGTAATCTCCATAGCAGTGAGAGAAACTCTAGTGTGCCAGGAATACATGCAAACGATTACACAATTTTATTGGTGGATAGACGTCTATACTTTCATCACTAAAGCACTAGAGGTGAAGATCTGTTGAGAGTAACTTTTGCTTCACGCTTTGCAGCGGTCGTCAGACAGCAGCATATATTGCCTCAACAATCCGTATTATTCTTGTAACAATTATCATAACCTGGCCTATATTGTATATTAAATTGAATAGATAGAATCGCTTCTTTCCGCTGATTCCTATGGATTGTTAATGACAAGCATAGTTTCCATTTACTTGACATGCGTGTTGTGTTGTATGCATGTCATTCCGCGGGAGGGCTAAATCAGGGGAGTGTTCTTATGGAAGCGATTGTGTGCCGCATAATGGCAACAAGTGCGACACACTGCGGTAGTTGAACGCACTGGCACAGAGCGTTGAGCAACCGTGCCATACAGTAAATCTATTTTCACTTGTAAAACTCTTGAAAGGTGCAAGCATGTCAGGGTGTACACTTATTTATACTGGCATGGAAACGAATCCAGTTGCTATGCACCTGCACTGAAAGTAACAAGCAAAGGGAGCTCAGACAGAGCCTTCGTGGCGTGGGAATATCTCACACCTCCCGCACTGAAGCCCAGCATTGGCGGGATCATTGTGTGTCTAGATGAGTTGGGTCCGTGATCCTTTTGTGTGTGTGCGTGTGCATGATGTGCCTACAGGAAACCAGGTCGAGTTGTTCGGTGCGCATGCTTTTGTGCCTGTGCGTGGATTATTAGTACATGTACATGTACATGGATTGGCGCTGCTCGGAATAATTATTTGAGTCCTGTATTCTTTGGAACTATTCACAGCAATGTTGTTTGCTGCAAAGGACAAAGCGGTATAGTGAAGCCCAGATGTTTCTGTGAATTGATAGGCCGCATGAAGTGCTGCATGAGTGCAGTTGGTTCCGCTTGCGCATCTCACGGTCCAGTAGATGTTGTTATGAATGTCCAGCGGAAGTAATTAGTTAGAGTGGAGTTGCACGCCCACGCAATGTGCATGAGGACGATTCTGGGATGAATGCAGACATCCGCGTGCAGCTACGCGTTTACGTGTGTCATGGTAAGCCAAACTGTGTAATTATAGAAGAGTTCCATTCCAAATTTATCCAATTCTATGCCAATCTACTCTGCTTACCAGCTTCTAAACGTGTATTTACTAACCACCACCTCGTTACACCAGTAAAACGTCGTAAACACAGCGCAGTTAGTGCAACTGGTTTGTGGCATTTGAGGACAGGTGCTTTCAACTTTTGTTCTTTTGACAAATGCCACAATCTCTACGATAAGGCAGAGAGGAATAAAGTACAAAGTAGGAGAACTCAGATGGTAAGCCAAGGAATATTTTGTAAAATGGAGATTGCCATGTTACAAAAAAAGGGGGAGAAGAAAGAACAATGACGTATGGCTATCTATAGGAGCTGTTGAACTAGCCGCAGTGCAAATGGCGCGAGGTCCCCCCCCCTCCTCCCGGACCAGTAGGCAACTAGATAGCCGTACTACACACACCGAAGATGAGGCTTGCAAATCTTGTTCATCAGTTGTGGTGTAATAATAATGGTATCAAATTCCAATCTTACCTCTAAAAATGGTATCAAATTCCAATCTTACCTCTAAAAATCAACTGTACAGTACTCGGCATTTCAACGGGAGAACCGAACCTTAAAAAATTGGACAACAAATGGAAAATCATGCATGAACCTGAATAATGCAACCACCCAAGTCACGTGATCTGGCTGTGCTAGCTGGTGAAAGGCTAAAGGGTATCACCATTTTGGTGAACAAACCCTGCATGTGTATGTGATCTGCACCGCGGTTGTCCTTCTTTGGCAGTGCAGTCTGAACTATTTATTATTATAGCTATTTCCGCGTGGAAGTGTAGCAAGCCTTTGCTGCGTTCACAGCTTCGCAAATGCATGAATGGCTCGGGTGAATGGAGAGGGGAGGGAACCCAGAGAGGCAACCAAACTTATTATGTCTCTTTAACATTATTTTTTACTGTACTTACAAATTGATGAAGTAAGCTCGTCCTCTTAAAAGAAAACAAACTTACATTATGCATAGCTGCAAATCGATCAGTATACTCTACAGTATAGTCTCCTATCGCCAGTGTGAATTAACGTTACATTGTTATGAGGGTGAGCTACAAGAACAAATTGCAAACTCTTCACATCGATCCTCAATACCCAAGTATCAAAGAAATTGCACAATAAGAGAGAAAAGGAGGAAGTAATAACGCAATTGCGTTAATCTGTACGTTTCATTGGTTTTGTTGTTTGTAAACAACGTGAAGGATTTCGTATAAAAAGCCTCGTGGAAATGACCTTGAGTATTGAAACTATCGATGATCGTGGTGATTCTTTTTCTTGCAGCGATCATTTTGTTGCCTCATAGGAAGTTGTCCAATTCTAGGGAATGCTGTTAAATTTGGCATCAGATGTACTTTCGACGGTTTTCAAAATGTATTTTTTGGTAAGGTCTCCTTCATGTCCATGATGTCTGAAGATTTTACTATATTTACGGTCTGTTTGTGACTAGAACGTACTCATTGTGCATATTCCATCAGCGTGCCTTAGCTCTATGTTGGGCATACTTTGAAACACGAGTGAAGTAGGTGCGATCAAGGCGTCTACTATACTAGATATTTGTTCCTAATGTCACCCATCTTTATTTGTACGACATAGTAGATATGAATGTACATGTACATGTGCTATTAATCCAATATTGAACCGTAATTATTATAGCAACGACGACATTTGATTGGAGAATAGATAGAGTGGCGAATGGAACTGTATATATACAAGAGATTTTTTCGACCGGACACCTCCATGGCATTGGCTCCTGTTGCAGTCCAAAGAACAGGTGCAGCAACAATAGTTGCAAAAGCATCGAAAGAACCATTGGGATGGAAGAATGGAGCAACGAATGCAGCGAACAAGCACAAAACCTTACACAATGATTGCAATTGAATACACGTATGAGCGACAGAAGAAGGAAAGAACACGACACTGCCAGCCTTCAGTCAGTGGCGGGTTATATCAGAGACTGTCTGGTCCAGTATTGAAGTCAAATGTCGCTGTTTGTTTATTTATTCGTTACCAGTATTTGTGTTTGCGGACTTTAGTGTTTCACCATCAAGGAATTTTCTATGAAAGCTTTAGGTTGTTCTAACGAAAGTGGTGTGGCACCTGGAAACTCAAGAGTGTTTTTGGGGGGGGGCAGAATCTCGCTTGTACAGAACTATTGAGCAAAAAGGGATTGCCAGTGAACGAACAACTGGATAAAATTCAAGGCCAAGCATGCAAGAGAGGAGACAGGATTATAGCGTAGAGGACTAACGTTACAGGACTAAAATGCATGTTTAGAATCTCAAACAGACTGGATTCACCATCAGATGGGCTAGTAAAGGCATGTTATCTCATAATCTAGCGACCCCGAGTTATAAAAAATAATTTGATTTCAGCTCCTTCTTCGAATTTTATGCCAGGCGCGTCATACTTGTCCAGAGCATGTCATAACACGCATTATTCCCCATGCTCCCATTACGAGTACTCGTTAAAGACTTGGTTGGTTCATCCGTTGTGTTTTTGTCGGGGTACCTTAGTCGCTGGCCTAGGGACTGCATATGAGTTATCATCTGAATCGTCGCTTGAGTGTTGCGATTCAGTATGCTGTTCATCAGCCAGCGGGTCGGGTAGACATCTGAAAGAGGCCTGCGCGTGATTTGCCATAGACGAGGGCTCCATGAAGTTTTGCTGTGAATAGGAATGCATGGACACATAGGACGCTAGAGAGTCGCTTCGAATGTAAATGCGCGGATTTGAATCCATGTCCACGTAGTCCTCTTGGTCCGTAGACATTGCCGCACCTCTGCCAGAAAAATTCTTTGCAGCAACTTTAGCTTTAGTTGTACCATGAGCTTTCCGCGGTGATCGACCTCGCGATTGGTTTAAGCTGTTGATGTCTGGAGGTGGCATTGATGGTGGTGAGTGTGGGGGTTCAGGTGATTTGTAAAAGGCACGGCTTCGTGGGGTTCCTTTACCATCCTGCACCTTGTGCGCAAAGGCGAATCGTCGTTCGTCTTTGAATTGTGAATTTCCTTCGGAGGCTTTAGGTAGGCGCGATGACGACGAAGAAATAACAGGGGACAATTCGCCGTTCAGATTGGGCGTTGAGATGGAAAAAGACATGCGTGGTCTTGGCTTGAGTGCAGGCTTTTTACCGGGAGACATTCTTGGCTGACTTGCATGCTTCTTGAGATCCGCAAGTGCTCTGGCGCTTCGAGGCGTGTCGTACCTAGGCGGTGAATAGCAACTCCCCTTTCTTGCAGGTGTTGGCGATGCATGCGGCGGTGCGGAATACTCTGCCACGTCAAATTTGAACTCGACCGCACTTTGCTCAGGCTGAAGCACTGAGTCTGCGGGCATTTCTGCTGACTGGCTTATGAATTCATCAAGATCCGTGCTTGTCTCGCCACTGTTCCGACTGGACTGCTGCTGTTGCTGCGGTTTCATAGACTGTTCCTCGCTGTTCTCCATGCCTTGAAGCTGTGAGAGGCAGACCCCTGAATAGCCATCTGCCGTGCCCAGTGCATTACCTTCCTGGGAAGCTAAGCTTGGCTTCCGCTTGGCTCGCTTCCACTTGATGCACAGGATGAGCAGAAAGATCGCATTGACGATGGCTGATACACCAAGGAGGGCTCCCAGCACAGGAAGAAGCAGACCGTCAGCGGAATCGTCTTGGTCATCTGTTGTGCAGAGTAACATCGAATAGCAAAAGACGTACAGTGGTCATTCAAGAACGGTTTGCGCACAAATGCAGGGGCGTATAAGTTCATGAACTCAGAATTTCCCCCTTACTGCATCGCCAGACATTAAGTTAAGATTTCGGAGCCTGGAAGCAATGGTGTATTGTGCTTAATAAGCAGGGTTTCCGATTACTTATGCATGGTCTGAAATCAAAGGATGTAGCAAATTCATGTACAACCGAGATAGCCACATTATGTGATTGCTTTTAGAGATATTTCATAATAATTATACACGATCACTAGAGTAACAGGGTTTCTAGATCTACGCTTGCTGCCACTGATACTGTAATATTTCCATGACAGCAACTGTATCGCATATGAAAAACAAAACTAATATTTGAACCGTCCGGGCCAAAGTGGAGCATTAGCATACATGCCCACGTCCTGTGTGCTCGCTACTACAACTGCCAATACCACGTAGTGTGGAACGGTGTCCGATTTTGTAGGCGTGTAACAAAAACAGCATAATTTTGACTTGATCATAGTTTCAACATTGTTCTCGATGCCCATTTCGAAGGACGCTTTCAGCCCTGTGTTTTACACAAGACATGATATTTGTATTTCGTAATGCTGTGTTTGCCGGAAAACACATTATCAACGGATATTTCATGCTAGGGCCTACGCGACCATGCAAGCTCACCTTTCTTAGTCTCGTTATGGCCAGCGCATAGTCTGAACACTGCAGTGACCGTCACAGCTCTGAGCATCGACCTGAGCAGCATTCTGGCGTCCCCTACGTGTAATATTATATATCTTGCAATTTCGAAACACAAGGAGTCACAAAAAACTGCCACGCAGTTACAATCGTTAGCAACAAAGCAGCCTAAAAGCGTCGACTTGGAGATTAATATACAGTCGTATCGTTCATTAGATATGAAAAATGAAGATGATTACTAACTCAAAGGCTACATTTCACGACAACGTAGAGCAATGATCCAAACAGTTCGGAGAAGAACTAGTGCAGAGCTGCTAGGTAGTGGTAGTAACGCTAGGCATGTCCAAACTGCTGCTCAGACACGAGCAGAAGGTCATCCGTGGCTTCCGCGACAACTGGCTGGATTACGTTGATTATTTCCGGACCCAATGTCAATTGACACGTTCTAGCAGTGACAACTCGCAACTGGCGCGTGACGTGAATCTGCGTAATATTAGTAGTGGTGGTATTTGTCTGTCTATACGCGGTGGGCGCATCAGTTGTAACCACGCGTGTTCGTATTGTGTAGACCTGGCTCATGTGCCTCTCCTGGAAACGATCGGATTCGGTATAGTCTACATAGAGAAAAATGAGCATATAGCAATAAACAGCAGTCGATTTCGCACGCTTACGTTGCCACCTGTATTACAACGGTGCTCATAAGCACAACCGGCTAAGAACTTTTCGCGTGTGGTGATTTCTAATAGAATTTGCATGAATCGTGTACGTACAGTGGGTTTTGTGTATTCTCTTGCCATCAGTACCGCAGGCCTACATTTTTATTTCTTTTTTTATTTATTGAAAACCACAAGCCTTCAGACCTGTGAATGTTCACATATACAGTGTACATTGCGTAGGCAGCACAGAAACGGCATTGGTGGTGATGCCTGGGCAGCTCGTCCGACTTTTCAGTGTCTACACTGTACACGGGACGGTGTTTAGAATGGAGTGATGCTCATCAAAGCCCAAGTGCAAATGCACAGACTCTACAACTTGACCTTGACCTTGACCCTGGGCATAAGGCACTCACCCTGATTCCCAAACTCAGCACTTAGTAATTGCTTGTGGACTCTACATGTACCTGACCCAATCACGTGTCTGGTGTAATGAGTCAGTTCTGTGAATTTAGAGTTGATCGAAAAGGGTTTGCTTGCATCGAGCACATTACCTAGTCCAAATAAGCGCCAAAGAAACAGAATTCTCCTCCTGCCGTCGGATTGCCAGTTACGTGTAGAACGTCAGTACTGTTGGTCAGTGTCGTGCAATGTTATCGCATGAGCCCATTGGCAAGTAACTGGTGGTGTTAGTGGGTATCATAACGTAACTTGTAGCTCTTTCTTCCTCTTTTCTTGTTGCAGCAATCCCAGATATGACTTAAAAAATCAACACAAGCGTAAAATATTTGATTATCCACAAGGTAGAGCTAGAGGCAGTCCAAATTTAAAAAAATTGTAGAAACCACTTCCAGGAGTCGGAATAACCCACGCTTATGGCCAACCATGCTCTTCACCTAAGCTGTGGTGTGGCGTACAGCCCAGCAGCGACCAAGGAAAAATTCATCAGACCTCGAAACTCATTCTACTTGTGAATCCACACAGAGATCAGTGTGACTCAGCAACTGCTCCGGAACCCACACACTTCCCGTACCAACTAAAATGAGGAAAGCCCCTCTGCATTTAACATTCATAACATCAGGCATTTACAATGGAAACGTTAGAATAAAAATACCTATATTTCCCACCAATACGTAAGTGGTAGACAAAACACCGGCTAAATGAAATCACCCATCTAATGAACTGGCCGAACATGATCTACCATCACCAGATCTCCATCAAATTCTTGAACACATAGACCCTTGCACTCCACATGTACACACTAAACTGTGGATAAGGAAACACTCAGTGCAGCTTCAAAGGACTTTTTCTGGAATTCGTATGGTGAATCTAGTGTTCGTACGTCTGAAGTGCTTAGTATGTACATGCTTAGACACCAGACTAAATTCTAGGATTTAATTATGATTTTAACAGAGATATCCTGGAAAGATCATAAAGGAGAAACGATGTCAGTTTTCGTGAGCTTGAAAAGTCTTTCTCGATATTCAGGCCAATTTTAAAGGTTCGACAGGGAGATAAGAAATCAAACATGTAATTGTGTTTATAGTGATATGCTAGCTTTCATACACTTAACTGGTATGCCGGTGGTGGGAACAAGGGGACTGGGTTCAATGAGAGATCTTCAACTTCCAGTAAATCTATCCTCCCATTCCGAGGTGGAAAACGGAGAGAAGATGCCAGCAGGCTTCTATCTGTACTGGTAGCTACTGATGTTGACATCTGTAGCCATGACTCTTCATGCTGAGGAGGATGGATCTGCCAGAAAGGTGTTCCGCAATCTGCGCTCATTGCTAGGTCAATTGCATTGATTGTAGTTCCATTGGTGCGTGAACAATAACCATGCCGTGCTGTCGCTTGCCGTAGAAGTTTCTTGGTTCTTCCGTACTCGGAATTTAAAACCACAACCCCAAGGCTCAGGCAAATAATCACCAAAATAGCTATGATTAGTATAGCCGCCAGTATGGTCACCCAAGTGTTTGACTCCTGCGGTCACCAAAGGACAAAAGATGCACTAATGCAAACATGCGTTCACATTCACACATAATTGCAGATGCATTCGGACACACGCAAACGGATACACATTTACAAGTAAATAATCGCATTCAGAGTTAGATGGCCGGGATGATGCGTACTCAATGTTCAAGGTGTATTTTTCTTTCTTTTTACTAGCAAACAAAGCCCTACTAATAATCAGGGAAAGAGGACAACTGAAGTATGAGTGTGTGTGTGTGTGCGCAATTGTGTGTGCATGTGTGTGCGTGTGTGCCTAAAACAACCTTAATGATACTCTGAAGAAAAGTTGCATCAAGTTTTTTTTTAGGTGTCTTAGGTACCTACCATTCTGGTGGGAAGAGTCAAACACAAATACTAGTAACTGATCTTCACGGGTTTGCGGATGTCGAATGACCAATCAGGATTGGTATTGAAGAAAGTTGATCGAATGCCGCAGGCGGGCAACCATAGGCGGTGAAATGACGCTAGTTCTGACTTTTATTAGAAGTCCAATTTGCAAGGGTGATATGAAACAGGATAGAACTTTAACAGAACGTAAACCAAAGTGATATCCTTCTTTAGCTTCTAAAAAACCCATTGCCGAGGAATATTCAGTTGGCCTTAGGTAATTTTGTCTACACCACCTTCCAGGAGTGGCTTTCTGTTGTCCAATCGCATGTTTTCCGTATACGTAAAAGATAACGGCCTTTTAAGAGCGGAGTGGAGCACTGTCAACTCACCTAACCACGAGAACACTATGATGTGACACAAACACACTGACTCGTAGGGTTATAATACGAGATGACTCCCAGCTTGTACATGCATGCTTTCCCATGTTTTCCCTTAAACCATGCAAACGCATTTGTATCAGTGTTCCTACGTCCTGTCGTGTGATTCGTCGTGTGGCCGTGTACCTAAATTGCAGTGCTAAGACTGTATTTTCATTCACACGGACGAGAAGACCAGGAAGGAGCACGAAGCATTGTCTCTCACCTTCCAGCCAGCACCACGACACGGCAATCCCACTTGGTAAGTGTGTCACTGCGGCCCTCGTGCCTAGAGGATTATGGTGTGAAGCAGAACGTATCATGCTAGTGCTTTGAACTATGCAAGTTAGTCATTTCCCAGGAAACCTGTTCGAGGGACACTGCAAGTATTGTGCGGCGGGGGAGTTGAAACGAAACGGACAAGAGAAATACCGAATTTGCAAATTTACATAGCCTTGTAAGTTCCTACATGAAGTGATATGCACTTACATTACGTATAAGACTATGATGAATTAAGATGAGGAAGGAAGTTGCCTTTATCCACTATCCATCCTTAATTTACATCTCCGGAGCATGCAAATGAACTGACAATATAAGGAAAACGTGTGACGGTATGGACTGGGCCGTTAGACGAGCATTTCCTCAGGATCCAGTTGGTAGTCGTCAGATGATGGTATATTGGTCAAGGATGTTGCCATGTCTAGTCATGCTTCAGACTGGGACTGGAAACTGGTGTCCACTTTTTGTCCACACGTCAAGCTTACTAAAAATGTGTTTCAGAGCATTTAAATTCAGCCGTCAGGAATCCAGATAAAAGAGCTACCTCAACAACAGAATTATGACAAAGAAAAGGGGAACTCAGATGGTGAGCCAAGGAAAAATGTTGCAACATGGAATTTGTGGGCATAAAGAAAAGGGGCAATTTTCAACTCACAACCACTCTATTCAGTTGCTATTCACACGCAGCGCATGCGAATTATGCTAACAGAATTATTGATGGACAGAGCTAGGATAGATTTTTCGTTCCACCCGGCGTGATCAATCATGTGACCAAGCGGTTTTCAGAACAGGCTTGTGTACCGGTATCGATCGTAGATTTTGCTGAATCTTACTTCAATGCGACGTGACTTGTTGCCATATTGACTTCCACTGTTATGAGCGGCAGTAGGTCATGTGGTACAGCTGCTTACGTTGACTTGTCCACTTGTGTGCCCATAATTATGTGAGCTAAATTGCACCCTGCACTTCTCTGTTTGGCTTTTGGTCGGCTAATGTTTACAGTGGAACTGTAGTGGAACTGCAGACGAAAGTGGAACTTGTAGACGAAAATGAATCCGCTATGTGGTGGGTGTCAGGTACACTAATTATGGGTGGGTTGGATGTTTTTGCTCGTGTTCAGTTGATGCGATACAGGAGGCGCGGTGTTGGATACAACCATATGATTAGGGAATTGATCCTTCCAAACATTCTTATACATTTTCGCCGGAAAGCTCATGTTGACATTTTGCCCCTGCCGAATTGTACTATCTGTGTGGCGTACAATATTTGAATGTTGCTTGAGGAAGGTGATACTGACATGAATATCCTGAATCATTGAGCGGAACTCTGAGAACGTCCTTCATCGCGTGTCTCACAGGCTGCTTGCGCTGCTTTCAGGTTAGGCACTCTATCGTATACAGAATCAACGGCTGCCATGATTATGTACTCATCCTCCCCATCCTTTCCATCCTCTTCAGGTTCATCTACAGCATGCGTTGACACCTGGTCACTTCCGACCATTGCGCGTAGGTTTTCATCACAGTGCATGGGGTAGTTTGAATCCTTCCTAGCGAGCGGGCCAAACTCCGAGAAATTTGGATCACTCGGCAGCGGTCGAACAGCTAGGGAGAGTCCAGAACCCGTGCGGCTACATGCATTCAATCGGCTATCAACCAGGCGTTGTGAACTTAGAAAGCGTCCATTGTCTGGGATTTGCGCCTTATCATGCCTTTCAACGGCCGGGATGGTGACGTCGACGTCCATGTGACCACAGCAGGACGGAGTCGGGAGTTTCCCGCGTCTGACTTGTACGAGCAGAACACCAAGACACACCACGCATAGAAGCAGGAGTCCATCCACAGATGCTGAAATAATTTTCAGGGCCTCGATTTGATCTGGAATGTAATTCAAAAAGAAATGAATGACATACTTAGTCGTGTATAAACACGTTCTTCATATTGCATGCTGCCTTACAGGGTAATCGCAGTGTACAAGAGGGAAACCTAAAAGTACCCCTTAACGTTAGCTTCATTGAATAAGTGCGGACTCAACCTAGAACCCAGTACACGCCTGTTTGCTGATGATAATGCAAACTCGCGGCTTCTCTCATATTCAATCCTCCTTTGGCCATATTTTGTATAACCTTTAGTACTGATAAGGCTGGGTTTTTAGTAAACGAAAAAAATAATCGGTCTGGATCGTAGCATCTACTAGACTGGTACCATAGGTATAATTTTAGATTTCAATGTATGCGTAATCAATGCAGAAGTGAATAAGCATAAATAAAGCTGTGTGGACCCTGGCTAGCGCCAGACGTTACTGAAGTAACGTCTCTTACTAAGCTGCGAGGCATTTTTAGATTACAATGCTTGCGTAACCAATGCAGAAGTGAATGAGCATACATAAAGCTGTGTGGACACTGGCTAGCCCCAGACGTTACTGGAGCAACGTCTCTTGCATAGCTGCTGGATTAAAACGAAACTTCACATGTTTGTATTAGCCTGCACCCCATCACGGCCTATAATAAACGTTGACGTTAAAATCTCTGGGCAGCCCATAAAAGTGACGCCGCAAAGCTCTCACCTTGAACATCTTTACAGTTGCATATATTGGCATCCATAGTGGCGGCCTGCGTGAATAACAGTGGCTCCCTTTACAATCCAAAACACAAACGTGAATGAGTAGAATGATCACCAGCAGGTTTTGTTCATAACGGGAGCAAAAGAAGAAGAAAAATGTGAGCAAAAAAAAGTCCTTTGGGCGGTATGTTGGTGTAGGTAGGTGTTCACTTGCCTCATGTATAGTGGCCGCTTTCCAGCTCTTAGATGCTTACTACCGGACGGAGGAACTCTATTTCTAGATTTCGGTGGTAATATTGGAAAATGATACAGCTGTTTCTATTGTATAACAGGAGGACGGCTGTCATACCAGATGAAGCCATTTGGACGCATTTTCAAGCTAACACACCACAGTTTATCATTTTCATCAGTGCCCAGTACGAGATATCTCGTGTTGATTTTTTCACCGCCACTGATTTGGTTCGGCTTTCTGCTACATGCATCCGGATCGGCTATCTATTCACCCGTCACGTCCTGTGCAGCATCTACTGCCACGTCATGCGAGGTTACTGGAGTGTGTACGGTCCACTAGATTGAAAGAGTGCTTCTGTGCTTGCTTGAGGCATGTGCAAAACGCAATCCCAGCACTTCAAGGTTCCGGTTTCACGTGGTATTCGTCTGGTAGGATGCGTACAACAGGAACGTTTTGAAGATGCGTTCTTGTATACGAAAACGTCGCGAAAATCAATGCATTATGAAATGGAGGAACATAAACGTTTCTATTTTAGCTGGAAAGCATGCTTTTCCAAAACGTAGTGTGAAGTCTGCCTGTCAATGCGAGAGTGTGATTCGTTTTATCTCGTACTCGTGACGCATAGCCACCTCTCCACCTACCCCCCCCCATTCCTATGGAGCACAGTTGTTTTCATTGCGGCAGGAAGTCGCCTTTGATTGTTGGCTATGTCATTTGCTGATCTCTGGAGAATAATGGTGTATGATTACGTATTCACTGACTTGAGGGAAAGTCAAAGACCCAAATTACGATAATAAAAAGAAAAGAGGACCAAAGAGCTGCAAGTTACGCCACGCTATAATATCCACTAACACCACCAGTTACTGTACAACCAGATCATGCGATGATATGGCACGAGACTGACCAACGGTACTGACGTTCTACAACTAACTGGCAACCAACCCTAGTAGACCCAGGTGCTCGAAGTCCGTACATGGTATCCTAAGTTCGTACGCCCATAATTTCATGTTCTGTTATTGTATTCGACTCAAATATTTTATGGAGGGGACAGTGTGGTATGTTCTCCTCGCGTACCAATTTTCAGGGATCTACGATAAGCAGAAGTCCCATACCACGGGATCGGGCCCGGGAGTGGGTTTTCGAGTGTCCATACGAATACAAATTGGGTTACATTCCATGCAAAAATCAACTTTGCCAAGACCGATTTCGAACGGACACAGCGTCAAACAGACCTTCACTCAATCATCAAGAGCCAGCTTAGAGCAGACAATGGCCAGAGGAGAAGAATTTACAGAGAACCAACAATCCTTGGAGAAAGGTTGACACTCCTGGCATCTCCACCACTGTTTTCCCGCGGTTTTCACAGCGCAGCTGCTTCTTCTCTGAGCCGACTAAAAACAGCTTGCATTGCGGCAACAAACTACGCTTTTGCAAGAAATACTGGTGGAGGCACATGCCAAACATATCCCTTCGGTACTTTCGTCGTAACCGAGGGATTGCAAGTTAGCAATTAGCAGAAATATGTGTGTATTTCGAGTCACCTCTGATCAGTACGGACTTAGAGTACCCTCTGCGACACCAAAATTTGATATGAAAAATGAGCGAAATCCAGAGAACCAGATCGGATCGAAAGATGGCCTGGTTCAATCGAGCCTGGCCTCAGAACAAACTTGGACAAGATACCTTCCATCCACGAGCAGGATTCTGGCAAGTGATCATTGCTAGCGTGAGTTTCAGCTCGGCAAACACACACTGTAAAAGTGTACGGACTTCGAGCACCTGGGTCTACATCTTGGATGTGCACTCCAACAGCCTTCCAACTTGGAAGATTCTAAGTTATAGAAATAGCATAAGAAAGGGAAGGTGACTGGTAGTGCTAGCGTTATAGTGTAGTTTGGAGCTGTCTGAACTTTTCTTCTTCTAAATTAATACTTGGCTCTCCAAGCGAGTCTAGTTGCAATAATATAAGGCAAGTACAATTATTTTGTATTCAGCCCATTATCCAAGGGGGGCCTCTGGCCCGAACTGGCATAGTGGGCTAACAAGGTCCACTCAAACGTAGTTGGTTTGACTGCACTGTGTTGTTGTGAGCAGCAGTGATCCCTCGTTCTTGTACCTTGTTTCAGCTCGTATTTTTAATCTACTTTGTATTTACCCGAATATCCAAGGAACGGAGGGTCTCTGGAACACATAGTCATATGGGGCGAACAAGGTCCGCTCAGGGATAAATTGAGCCAACTTTGAGCGAAATCGAATATTTGGCCATGTCAGGTGATATTTGGTCGTTACAGACATTGACCACAATAATATTCAAATAAACCAATACTAAGTTTCCAAGAGTTTCGAAGGAATCAGTGTTCTTTGTCATTACACTGTGCTCACAGCCAACTCTCCCCCCCCCCCCCCCCCCCCGAATTCCCTCATTACTAGGGCTCTACCTACATCTTCTCCAACCCCATCTTCACGCCCCACACCCACCAGACTGCAACATTAACATCACACACGCGCACACACACACACACACACACACACACACACGCGCACACACACACGCACACAGGCAAACACATGGATGCACAGTGACACACTCTCACACACACACAAGTACAGACCCACAAGCACGTGCATACGTACAAACACAGAAACCTTTCATATACGAATACATCCACACAAACACCCATACTGCAACACAGACACACAGTGACATAGACACGCAGAAACAGAAACAGACACACACACAGACAAAACACACAGACCCCATTTCCAGCACCCATGGACACAAACCAAGACACACCTTGAACCTTGAACGCCCATTGCCGTAGCCAAGACACACATAGGCTGACACACATGCAGGCATATTAACACCCAGACAAACAAAAATACGTGCACATTTGCACACAGCGATGCATTTTAAAACCACAAATGCACACACATAAAACAGGCGCACGCACGCACACCCACTCACACCCACATGAACACACACACACATAAAACAGGTGCGCAAACCCATGCACACACATGAACACACATACACACACACACTTGCGAGCATAAACGCACAAGAACACAAGCAGGCGTCAGATTTTCCGGTTCGGTAAGGTTGTGCAGAAATGTGTAGAAATTTTACATTAGGGAAATCCTCTAAAATATTTTGATTCTAGAAAATATATAGGAGAAATATAACTTACCTACTATGAAAAAAAGGAAAAGGACAAAATATTACGAGTTAAGGCTAGCTGTCCACCAAAGTACATGTAACCAGATCTTATATCATCAGCGAGTGCGACAAAATAGCACAAAGTTCTAGTTACTATGATGCAATCATCTTCGAAATGTTCCATCTAGATCAAACTCATGGGAATATGAGGATGTCATGGATATACTGCAAACAGTCTCGGTATGAAATGCCTTGCTATAAAACTATAATAAAAGTATACGCCATGATGTCTTTCAAAAACCATACAAATACTACAAATTACCGGTGATAACTACCGTTGTATAAAATTTCCCCTCTCAACTCACTCGAAGCATGTCAATAGTTGATTAACTTAAATAGAAGATTCCAAATTTGTTATGCTATCCTCGTAGTTTGGTGGTGGGGACAGCGGAAATATATTGGATAACTGTTCTTCATCTTCCATGGAATCTAAGGTCGCCTCCTGATTCGGATAAGGTAAAGCAAAAGCTTGCGGGTTTGTCTCATTTAGATAATTAACTGGTGTTGACATTCGTGGAGATAAGTCGTCGTATGAGGGGCAGGTATCGTTCACGTCAGTGGTCAGTTCCAGCGCTGTTGTGTTCATGTGCGTACCAGAATCGTGCTGTTGTGTTTGACGTAGCAGACGATCCTCGGCCCTTCGGTATTTGGTGTATAAAATTGTTGTGTAGACACTCAGGATAATAAGGACAACGACTGCTATACCAAGAATGCTTGCCAATATGTAATTCAAAGTTCTTGATTCCTGAAGTTATGAAAGAATAACCGCAGCTCCACATGCGCACATGTTCGTATCCATCCAGGCACACGCAGAAACACGCACACAAAGATACACGTGTAACACACACGCAGGCATAAACGCATACAGAAAATGGCATATACGAACACACATGGCCCAACAAATACTTACTTCAAACGCAAGATCATAATGTGAAGCAACTTGGAAGAATTGGTATGAATGGGAAGTGCATGGGGGAATACATGTAGGGCAATAGTGTGGGTTCGAATCCCAGTATATGCCTTAAAAAAATAGGAGAATTGAAAATTTTATAACATCCCTATGCTTTTTTTGCCGTCATCAAGGCGGTAGACGGTGTCGTATTACCCTCGATCGTACCTGTCCCGTACTTACCCCGTACCGTGCCGTACCATCAAAGATGGCTGGCCACAATGCATATTCAAATAAGGCTTTCAAATGCCAGATCATAACGTGAAGCAACTTAGAAGAATTAGTATGTATGCGAAGTGTATCGGGGGATGCATGCAGGCCGCGCGATAGTGCAGGTTCGAATCCCAGGTTATGTCTAAAAAAACGATTTTTTTAAAGAATTTATAACATCCCTATGCTTTTTTTTGTCTAGGTCATCAAGTCAAAAAAGCATAGCGTAGGGCCCTGGGCTTCCAAGCTCTCTCGTTAACGAACATTTAAATCTCTCACCTAGTCGTACAAAACTACAGCAAACCATCTCTTGGCTGCAGTTCTTTAAAATATTCAGTTCTAAAGAAATTTTAGCTCGCGCGCATCTGACTTACACTATGAGACCAAGAATAGATAAACGAGAATGTGCAAGTTGCGGATGGGTTCCCCCAAGGCGGAATTTTTGTTGACGTAATCTTTTCTACGCGCCCGCGCTGCGAGTCTTTTGGAAACGTTTGCCTCGTGCACTTGGCTGGGCTTTCCATTACAAGGTTAG